CGAATACGATCCCCTCCCACCAGCGGTCAAATACGACTCTCCCCCTCCCTTCCAACGAAAGGATTCGCACAACGATTATGTTCCACAATTCTCCAGTTTACTTTCGAACAAAAGAAAAGCGATTTTAATGTTCAATACTACGAACGTGTCCGAGTCAAGACCAAGGAAGTCGTGAATTCGCTCGAACGGGTCATCACCAGCCAGATCAGCTCGAATGTCATCGTACCGCCTTCCAAGACCAAAGAAGTCGGTCAATCTAAATTTAAAACAAACAAAGTAAAGTGACAGCAAGAGAAAAGAGCACTGTTAACGATGGACACCGGGAAGATGCGAAGAAATAAAAAAGCACGGAAATTTTATACCCCGAGTAGGCACTGAAGAATGGAGGCAGCGACGAACTTGCTCGGGATTTCTGAAATCATCAAACGATTGGATGATTAGACGATATACTATACTCACAGTAACATGAGAAATAATTCGTGAAAGGACATCAAGAATGAGCCGGAGCTTATATTGGGTCGGCTCATAAGTAATGGCGTTTTTTCCCATCGCGTTGAAGAAGAAAAGTTTTGCCATTGAGTTTTATACCGTTTTGCAGAGAATTCCTTGCCCTACACGATAGTCTTCTTAGTTTTCTTCAAGTTTCTCTTTCCACTAATATTTAAGTGCTCAAACTGGAGTGTCAGGTCGACGAAATTCGAGCATTTTCGACAGCCTCTTTTATACCTCTAATTGAAAAGCTAAAACCGCACAGGCCCAGTTGCTAAGTATATGGCAAAAGGCTATGTCTCTTAGGAATGCTAACAATACTTTGAGTGATTCGAAGATTTCAGTTTCGACCTCACAGACAAGCATCGAACCTAATGCCCTACCCTGTATAGCTGAGAGCTTATGGTTGAATTTTGCGATATGAGACCTTTACTGTTGAATTCCTCATAAGCGAAAACATAGGAATACACTACTTCTAAACACTTTGTGGACTACTGACAATTATTTATTGTTTTGAAAAAGTTTCTTAATAACAAAAGTATGTGGACACTTAACAAAAACATTGTCGGTTGCGAAAATAGAGTTGGTTCTTGTCTTCCAGCTCGTCATTTTACTTCGGCATTCTGTCTCGTGGCATGCTTGTGGACTAACGATTTGTCATTCGGTGTCTTTTTCTCGATTTCTCCCATGCAGCAACTATTGCCTCCTTCAAGTCTCGCACGCTGTTGTACTGCCCACTGTTCATGTAGATTCGTCGAACCATGATTCCCCACAGGATTTCGGTTGGGTTGCAGTCAGGAGAGGACACGCCGGCACTCAATCAGATAGCTCTTTGATCCAATAGCGTTGTATCCGTTCTTCTAGGTGAATTTTTGGAAAGCATGCACGGCCGGCGTTGTCCTGCTAGCATCAAGTGTGTCCTTGCGTCGTTAACCGCGCTAGAAAAGGCAAAGGTTAGACCTTCAGAGCCACTCCGTGCGTTATTCCTAACTGTTCATACAGAGCAACGATAGGTATATGGCAGCTCCAACTTGTCCTCTAGCTTCCAGGTCCGCCATCAAAGAAGCGCCTCCGCAGATTTCAGTATCCACCAATTGAAAGGTCGACACCGCCTTACAATAGAGCCCTTTCAGCTTGATGCCTCATATCATCCTTGGACCCTCCTCGGAGATGACTTTTTTTATTCCAGATAAAGATAAACTAAGAGAAGAAATGCGTAGAATAGTTTGCTTTACAGGTACTCTTTACCAGTAATCTCCAGAAAACGCTGCACACGTGAGTTGTTACACCGATCTGTCCCCCCTCTCACAGGACACGATTACATTTACCCTCGTCATCGGGCAGTTGATATAGGGCCGTTCCATTTTTTGCAGGCCGTCAAAAGGTTCAGTTGGTGCCAGCTGGCGCTTGGGCAGCCAAGGTGCATTCTTTACTTCATTTGGTCCTTTGACGCTGGAGTGCATCGTACTCGGTCGATGCGCTGTAGAGACCGCCATTTTGTTATTTTGTGGAACCCCTGTTTTACCTTCAAATCGCACGGCAGATGATGCACAACGTAAGACTGGTTGATGTTTGGGCTATCTATGTGCTCTGATTTCTTTTTGCGGACAATGTAATCGTTGTCAGGACTAATTATAGGTCATTCTTTTGCTAACTTTTCACCTGTTTTTGGCTATGGTGCCTCGTACAGCTGGTATCTGAGTATTTTGGCCGGTAGCACTCAGGATTACTGGAGGGGTTACATAACCAAGCGCACGTCTCCGGAATATCAAAGCTATCTTTTAGTTTTCTATTCTCTGAGCAAAGTGACGCTGAGCTGAATCTCGATTGCGAGACGTTGTCTGCGTTTTCGCTTAGGACTTATATAACACACTATTCTATGAGTATCGCACGGTAATGGGGGACTAGGAGACCAGTAAAAATGGATTGCAGATCTGTAGCGAAAATTAGGTGAACTTGTGCTCAGTGGGTGCGAGTGTTAAGTAATCACATACTTTTGTTATTAAGAAACTTTTTCAAAACAATAAATAATTGTACAGTAGTTCACAAAGTGCTCAGAAGTAGTGTATTCCTATGTTTTCGCTTATGAGGAATTCAACAATAAAGGTCTCATATCGCAAAATTCAAAGGCAATTTTGCAGGACAAAAATTTGAGGTGTCCACATACTTTTGTTACGCACTGTATACCACAAGGTTTGAGCTTCTTCTGTAGATTGAGAGCCGAGATAAAATTCAAAAAGTAGTTGTCGAAAACTCACTTTTGGGTCGACCCGAATTTCCCTTTCAATGAAATAAAAATCGACACAAGTCGAGAAATAGTAAGAAGGCAATTATACTATCTTATAGTGCGGAAAATTATCTATCAAACAGTGTAGAACATATTGGGAACAAGTTGTCATTTTCCATAGAAAAATTGTGTGACAAAAAAGGCCATTTCTTATGGGCCAACAACACTTCACTAGTGCTATTATAGGCAGACAGGAATGTGCTTAAATCGATCGCTACTCACTCGAAATTGATTAGATTGCAGAGCCAATCGTCGACAAAGCAACGTAAACCGATGTGGATTCCACTTTTCGAAGAAATAAATCTGATGAACTTTCGAATATTAACGAACCACTTTCTTTGTGTGAAGTAGTTGGCGCTTTGTCATATCCCAACGCGAAAGGAGATCTGCCGAAGCATTTTCAACCGTGCGAACTATACGACCGAATTCTGGAATAAGGTGGTTCTCGATGTTCGTGCTATATGTAGCCCCCTAAACTAATGAGAATTTCGCTTGCCTGTAGCGTAAGGATGCTCGTCATCTGTGTTCATGCTGTTAAGACGGTCTAGTTCATTCTCAAGCAACGATGCAACTTCGTTCATATGCTCTGCAAATCGAAGTATGGTCTGGTTTGAAATGCAATAAAAACTAAATTTTTCCCACCATCAATTTGGTCACAGACGGCAGTAATTCCAGGAGCCACTTCTTCAACATGAACGTTAGACTGTTGTTGCCCTTCTATCGCCTGTTGTTCCGAGTCAGTAGATATTAACTTCATCCTTCGCAAAACTTCTACAATGTGAGAATCAAAATGTTATGAAAGAAAACGACAACGAAAACTGTGACTCACGCAAAAGCTGGAAGTTATTGGGTAGTGAATGGATTGGCCTGCGAGTAACTTTGCGGCAAACCGCACAAATAGGAAATGGTGACGAGCCATGCTTTTGCCAACTATTCAGACATGTGAGGCAGTTTGTGTGGCCACAAGATAGTACTTTCGGTAGACGCTCGGAATCGTTGTAAAGCTGAAAATATGCAGATAAGGAGCTTATTCCACTAATGAATACCGTAAAGTGGGATTCAAGGCGGCGCTGTGCCTTTTCGTCAGAAACGCTCAGAACGCATGAAACGCTGGTGTTTTTCCCAAAACGCCAGACCGACACCTATACTCTTTTTTTTGCCCAGAACGCTCGAAACGCTCAAAGTGCCGACGAACAATATGAAAGCAACCCAAACGTTGTTGCCCCTCTCTCCCTCGTATGCAGGAGGCTTATTTCACCTCATATTTCCATCAAAATTTTCAATGTTCCCACAAGGTTACAGGACTCTTGTAAGCCAAACGTTCTCTCGCTGCGGAGCCCAAAGATGATTTCTAATATATTGGTCGAGCATTTGAAGGAAAAGAAAAAGCAAGAGGGAATGTAGAAGGATGGAAAGAAAAGGAGGAAGGAGTAAGAAAAAGGAAGGAGGGAGTCGTCGCGGTTGACAGCGTCCTGAGACGGTTCCCACAAACTTTTTCCTGAAATCGATAAAAGGTAAAGCTTTCGCCGTTGATGAATCTTTTTCGGAATGCGATCTATCACGATCATGGTTTCATACTCACAGATATGGTACAAATTTACCGTCTCCGGAGGATAGTAAGCTTGCTAGCCTGGGCGGAAAAAATCTTAAAATTGATATAACTACTAATCACCTGGTAACAGATACCGCAAGCGTGTAAATCCGCTAGTGTAGCTGACTTGATACTACTGCCATCCGAAGCATTCTCGTCCACTGTGACGATGATGTCAGTACCAGATTGACGTGCTGGTCTGTCGTCAGAGTTTTCTACGTTTTCCTCGCTCATGACGACAAAGGCAGTCAAACTGGAAAGGAGGCATAGTAATACAACGATTTTCATAATTCAAAAAACGCGAATTATCAACAGAAAACATTTCCGATAAATAATGTAATGTCCAATCCCACTTCAGAATCCTTCCTACATACACTGAGCAACTATTTCCCATCCACGGCTGAACCCGTATGATTACACTGTCAAGGAAACATAGCAGACCACCCTTTCGAACGTACTTGAATAACGATAAAAACGCTGAAATGATCAAAGCGGTTTTGAGGAAGATGCGGGTTTGAGTCGTTCGCGACGCGACGCGTCAACGGCAGTTCACTGGAGCATGTTTACTGCCCATCGCTTTTTAACAAAACTTCTGGAGGCCACCTGTACGAAGGTTACCCGTAACTATATGTTTTCCGCAGTCGTACGTCTCCTCCATAATACATAGTGTTGAGGGCTAATGCCGTTTGGACTCCAGAAATTTCGTCTTCGAGCTCATTTTCAAATTGCCTAAGTCACCAAATAAAAACTTGTATATAGGGGTAATTCAACATCCTGATTACGAGTATGACACTCATTCTTGGCGCTGGCGCCAAGAGAGGACACTACGATTACCTCCTGGGCTCAGCCTTAGCAGAGCGCAGGTAACCGTAGTGTCATCCATTAGCGCCAGCGCCAAAAATGAATGTCATATTCGTGATCAGGATGTTGAATTACCCCTATATACAAGTTTTTAGCGGATTT